CACATGATTCCATATGAAAATGTTGAGAATAGGCAAATCTATAGGAACTAAAAGAAGATTAGTTGAAGCCGTTAGCTGGGAGGAGGGGAAGAAATGGGAGGGCAACAGAAGGATGCAGGATGATGAGAATGCCTTAAAATTGATCATGGTGGTGGTTACAGAAGCCAATGAACAAAATAAAAGTCTTTGAATTGTACACTTTAAATGGGTGTGAGTTATATATGAATTCAGTTGTTAGGAGAAAAAAGAAAGAAAGGCGGGAGGGGGGCAGAAGCAGGGAGATACTTAGTAAAGAGACCGTGTCCTGTCCCTACCTGTTCTTGTCCTTCCCTGACCACATGGCTTTCTTGTTTCCACAGCTATGAAAGTGCCTACATTGAAACCTTCTTCAGTGGGAGCTGGTCCATCTTCTGGGTGAAGATGGCCTCCTGCTGGGTGTGTGTGCTGCTGTACCTGTGCACGCTGGTTGCACCCCTCTGCTGTCCCACTCGGCAGTTCTATGTGTGAGGATCTGAGCAATCCTTGGTTCTGCAGGCTGGAAATGACGTCCTTTGAACATGTATCCCAAGACACTGAGCAGTGACTGGCGCTTTGTGAAAAGCTGGCATTCCCTTGGCCGGTTGGGTGGGTTTGAAAAGGCAATTTAGAGGGAGAAAAAAAAAATTACCTGATTAGCTATTTAATTCTGAAATTCGAAAAGAAACTACCACACTATCCCAGAAGAACTGAAATTTTCAACCAAGCTGATCATGAGTAATAATACAGTTTGTCTGTGTCTTCCCCCAAAAAACGGGGATAGTAATTAGGTTAGTGTTTTCCTTCTGCGTGTATTTACCAAAACAGTATGGGGCACGACATCTTCTCCCAGGGATTAAAAACTTATCTTGTATGGCCTATCATTTTTATCCCTGGAATAGAAAACATGCCAAAATTTTGAGCCCTCGGCTGCTGACAGAATGCAGACCCCTGTCCCACACCTTGGCCTGCAGGCCCCTCCCACAGGCCCCTGCTATTTATAGGGAACAAGAGGAAGCATCTGGTTTTAGCCCCACCCTTGTGCTGCTTCCTCCTGGCCCCCAGCCGTTTCCCTTTGAAGCTGTGATGCTGGGAATCACAGATTATCATTCTTTGCCATCACCCTTCCCAGAGGTCCCCTCATTCTTCCCTAGGTTCAGCATCTTGGTTATTAATGTGAAAAAGCACAGTTTGCCATCACCACCTGTGTAATCCCCCACCGTATTATCACTACCTGATCTGAGTTACTGCAATAATTACGACTCTTACTTGTGGTGTTCTGCACATGATTATAGAGCAGTATTCGTGTTGTTTTGTCTAAATCATGGAGGGCTATAGTTTTCTTGTTTGTCCCATTAATAGTAAGAACACTTTAGGACCTTACCTGAAAAGTTGCTTCTTGATGGACTCCTGATGCACCACTGTTTCAGTGAAGGTCCGCCACCCGCCACCCCCCTTTCTCTTCCACCTTGAGGCCTTTGAACTGGTAAAAGCAAAAGAGATCTGTAATGCATCCGCACTGTTAATGTCCATTATGGATTTTTCTGAGTACATTTGCCAGGTGAGATTCACAGGCAGCACCTCACACAGGGCTGACCAGATTAAGGCCAATTGTACAAGCTGTAGAAGTAACCGAAAAACTTAGAAGAAAAGGTAGGTGGTGGGGGGATCTTAAATGAAGCCATAAATAACATCCACAGAAACTTCCAAAATATGTACTGTAATGCCTTGGTTTGCGAGCATAATTTGTTCCGGAAACAAACTGCTCGTATTGCAAGACATCGCTCATTTACCACGTTAAAATGTGTTAGAAATGTTGGCTCCTCTTGTGGAACACTCAAACCACGTTACTCGCAATCCAAGGCTTTACTGTACTTGTAATACTCTTCAGAGACTGGACACTGGGAGGTTGCCCAAGAAGATGTCCGTTTTCAGTGTTGATGTTCTCAGTCTGGGAAGAGTTTGTGGAAAGTCCATTAGAGACCCCAGTGGAGACACAGCGAGGACACTCCTGTTAATGTTTCATGCAGGATGGAAAGAACCCTCAAACTCCCTGGCAGAGAAGGTCTGAGAATGAAAAGACTGGCCTGTGACCTCAGAATTGGGTTCCACCTAAGCTGGGTTCCAGTGTGCCACAATGCTGGTGTGGGAAATGAGTCAAATTCTTCATTTCTCCTCCTTTGCCCTCCTCCCAAGAAAAGGGGCAGGGAGGGGGGATAAATACAATGGATGAACTCCTCTAGGAACTTGCCTTATTGACAATGTCTAAGATTCGGTTTTCAAAGGCACTCATTATATGGGTATGTGAGAGCCTTGTTTTGTAAACTTCATCACATTTCTTTTTTTAGGCGAGGAGTTCTTGGTGGTCTGCCATTGAAAGATGATCTGGAGTCACAAAATGAATAGCCACTGCTCGCAGCCCCATTAGGCCAGTGGGAGTGGAGCTCTGTTTTTTGGGGACAGGTTAAGGGATTGGGGTTGTGTGTGTAGAAGCAGCTCCCTGGCAGGGGCCACTGCAGAGGCTGGTGCAGTGACACGGGGCTCTGAGTAAGAGAGACTGGTTTTGGGAAAGACCACGAGAAAAGACAGATCAACAGCTGGGGTTGTGTCAGCTGCTGGCAGCCAGCTGTGTGACTTTAGAACTGGTCCTCACAGGTCAAGGCCAGGTGGACAAGGCCTTGTATTCCTTGGCTGGCCCCCTTCCCCTGCAGAAAGAAGCTCAGGGAAACACAAAAGAAGGGACGCTGCCCTGGCTGCCGTGTCAGGGCCCGCGGGCGATTCCTTCCTTATCCTGTGCAGCCAGCCCGGGTTTTCCGGCTGCTTAAGATTTGGTTTGTGGCCTGAAGTTCTGTCCAAAGTTTGGTCTGACACAAGAGGAATAAATTCCCCATCTCCTGGTTTTTTAATTCTCAACTGAGAATTTGAGGACGTTTATCTGAATGATTGAGAGAAATGGAGATGTACTCTGAGGACTGCGGGCACAGAAATAAGAAGTTGACTATAATTATTAATTGTGATAAACAATACTCAGGTGATGAGTCAACATTCATAGGTTTAAAGAGCCTACATTGTGCTAATTAGAAACTGGAAGAATTGTGCCAGTTGCCTTGAGTTGCTATAATGAACGTATTCGTTTGATAAATTCATTTTTCAATAATAGACTTGCTTCCTACAACTTTTTGTACATGCTTTTACAAGCACATTTCCAGAAGCTGCCGGTCAGACTCCTTTAGCGATAAAAGTTGACGAAGAGTTTTTAAAACTCTTATGTGTGTATTTCTTCTGTTCATCCAACCTGGAAATTTGTTTCCTCTTTCATTTCCATCAGGAAAAAAACACTAAGTGGGGGAAGGGATGCTTTCGGGGAGTGTTGCTGCATACCTAGACGCGTCACCTGACTGAAGACCAGACACTTTTCTATCACAATCTTTCAGACACCCTGCTTTGTCCTAACTGGATCTTGTGTTTTTGTTGGTTTTGCTTTTGTCCTCACATTTTCTTGGGAAATGGCTTGAAGGAATTGTTCACCAGAGGTATTTGGAGCTCTTGTAGTATAAAAGACTGTTCTCCTGTGGGCTGTGGGAAGGTGGGGTGACTGGGGATTTGGGGTTCTGGTGCCCTTCAGGAATGGCCCGCACGGGGTTCCCACACTACACTGTGTATTTCCAGTTCTTCAGAGGCTCCTTCATTATGGATGACCTCCATGTAGTGCTAACACCCCACCCCCACCCCACCCACCCACCCAGTTGTCACCCTCTGCCTTTGTAAAATTATGTATTTACTTAATTTTGACTAGAAGTTGACTACGATTGGTGCTTCATGTTACCTGCAAAAAGGGAATTCCAGAGCCTGTATTTAAGCTGCCTGGGCTTCTTTTCCCCCTTGACTGCCTTTCTAAACAGCATCTCATTTGGGTATGCATTCGTGTCCTACCCCTCTGAGAAATGAAAGAGGGATTATCCTATAACTAAGAAGGGTGTGACCTTGGGCAGGCTAAGACCCTGCATGTCCAGAAAGAACACTGGGCCCTCCTTAATTAAGGACAGTACAGTAGCCACTTGGTTCATGGAATTTTCTGTAGGACATTCTTCTTAATTTGCTAATAGCAGTGACTCCCTATGGCTTTGTTCTTAAGGCCACCATGTTTTTGTGCCATCTTTTATATATTTGTAAAGCCTCAGACATTTTAATCTAGTGTTGCATTTCAGGCAGAAATGGGTTCTCTAATGTTGGACTTACTCCACAGGACAGGATTGCTGTTTACACAGATCTTTTGAACTAATTCTAAAGATTTTTTTTTCCCCTCAGTATATCATTTGCAGAGGTGTTCATTTTGAAAGGGGGAAATATTTGGCTTTTACCAAAGAGGTGGGGTTTTTTGGTGGTGGTTGTTTTAAAGCAAAATCTTTTCAGCAAAAACTTAATTGGGGAAGGGCGGATTAAGAATGCATATGTCCAAGTCCACTTCTATAGGGGTTTAATCATATTTATGTGATTAAATGATGGAAGAATTCTTTAAGGTAAACCTTTTGAGGTGAAGGGTCCTGGGAAATTCTCTCAGGTAAAGAAAGCTGTAGCAGATGTGTAATATATGTCTTGAGAGCTATTTATAAGAAATTTTAAAAGGATTGTTTTTTTCCTTTATTAAAGATTTAAGGTTTTTTTACTTTGCAAAAAACTTCTACAAAAATTTTATAGTCCTAACTTTGTTAATTTTTAAAACTTTTCTTAGACGGTTAGCTGTAGCCAAATTATGGGGTTATGTTTTGCAATATTAGAATTTGAAAATGTAATATGTGTGGTAAATCTGTTGGAAATTTATAATGGTTCAGATATAGTTAAAGTTTTGGTAACTTTTTAAATAGTTTTTGTCCCCTTTAGGCAACTATGGGTTTATATTTGTTTTTTGAATGCTAATTTTTCTATGAAGCATCTGAAGTTGACTGGTCTTTTCCTATGTAGAAAATTCAAAACTTGTTAACTCTGTACTTAATAAAATTGAAAACTGAAAACCATGTAGTTTTTCTCCCTTCTGTTGGATACATTTACAATTGAAGCCCTCCTGGTAGTGTTTTCCAAGATGTTGCCTTCAAATGTTCATCAGCTCTCTCTTAAGCTTCTTAGAGTCTGTTGTGATTCTTGAGAACAAAAATACAAACATGAAAACAGCTTTTTGGCTTTGGTGGGCTTGAAAGCCCCTGTGGCCTGCTTCGTTTTTCCTATTCTTAATACTAGTGATACTCTTAAATATGAAAATTAGCATAAATGTTTAAGGAAAGTAGTGTGAGTCCTCCAATATGGTTCCTTTTTAAGATTTGGCTATGCCAGGTCTCCTGCATTCCCCTTTAAAGTTTAGAATTAACTTGTGAATATCCTAGATTGGTATGGCATTGAGTCATTAGATCAGTTTGGGAAGAACTGAGATCATAACAGTAAATCTGATTTATGATTTTATCTTTCATGTATATAGATCTTTTTAAATTTCCTTAGTATTAATAAGTACTTCTGTTTTTATTAAAATACCTTTGTACAGGATTTAATCTTGATACTTCTAAATCTCATTTTTATGAAATTAGTTTCCTGAATTTTTTAATTTTATGTATTAC